TTTGTAAGTGATATCTGTATGTTGAAGAATATCAGATGACTGTGCTACATCGAGAATATATTTCATCCTTAGGATATGGAGCTGAGTGAATAGATGCAATCAGTCAAACAGCCCTACAAACTGCCTGTGCTGTAAGTCTCAATCAACTGTGTATGGCAGTGATGACACCAGACTAGCTGTGGAGTCCAGGTCTCTCATGTCTCTGATTCTCCTGAAAAAGGAGTCATGACATTTCTTGTTACCAAACTCCTACTGTACCCAAGGTGACCTTGGTCTCTTGTTTTACCTGCAATAGGACACAGGGACTCTCTCCCACTTATTTAAAAGCCTAGTACAATGAGACCCTTGTTCCTTCCCTGTCTCCACTTTTTCCTGGCTTCCCGCTTCCACTCTTGCTATCTTGGCAGGTGCACCAGTTGCACCATCTGGAGCACTCTCCTGTTCATAAGGGTGACTGTGCTAGCACAAGATGTAGTTCAGATTCTGTCACTTACCTGCCAAAGAAACAATAGCTGGATTGTAAAAGGCTGATCCTTTACCATATCACAGTTACCTATTTGCTGTCACAGCTCTGTTGCCATGCAGGACTCAAAGTTTAGATGTAGCTCAGTGGAGTAGTGATGTGAGTGTTGATCAATTTTCTTCTGTCATGCTCTGCTGTCTTTTGGTTTGTCCCTTCTATATGTGCTGTATTTTCAAGCAAATGACCTTTTGACAATTGTAGCACCCTCACAGAATCATAGAATCACGGAATGTTGTGAGTCAGAAGGGACCCACAAGGATCATGGAGTCCAACTCCTGTCCCTGCACAGGACAATCCCAACATTCAGCCCATGTCCCTGAGGGCCTTGGCCAAATGCTGCTGGAATCTTGTCAGGCTTGGTGCCATGAGCACCTCCCCGGGGAGCCTGTTCCAGTGCTCCACCACTCTCTGCCTCCAGAACCTTTTCCTCACGGCCAACCTCACCCTCCCCTGCCACATCTTCTTGCCATTTCCTCTGCTCCTGGCACTGGTGGCCAGAGAGAAGAGATCAACACCTGATCTCCTTCATGTGTCTGTTCTCTCCTGCTCAAGCTGCCTGGCCGCTTACTAAGCCTGGGAAAAACTGACTTCTCTTGGCTTTTGCCTGTATTACTGTCTTGAAGTATCTGCTGAATAAACATTTTCACAATAAATACAGTCAGCATATGCATACTTCTAGAAACAAAGACTGTTCCTCCAAATATGTGTGCAGGTATGACTGTTCTGTGGCAAAGGAAGAAACAGTCTGAAATGCAACTGCACCTCTCCCCACCTTCAACCACTAGAATTTAAACACATTTTCTTTCTGCCTATATCTTTTCAGTAAGAAGTGAGAAAAAATGAAATTTTGTTCATCTTCATGACTGTGTGTTGAAATAATCTGAATTATATCAGCCAGAGGTTTAAAATGCTCCAGAAAACCTAATTCTGGTTTCCAGGCAGTGATAAAGTAGCTCATCCTTATTTCAATTTGTTGCTGCAACAAAACTTTTAAACATTAGTTTGGCTCCCAGCCTTCAGACATGATCTGAACTCGATTTTCTTCTATCAGGTAACAGCTGCCTTCACTTAAGCAGGAAGGTTATTTTGTTATAATTAATATCTACCTCATTATTACAATTATAGTCACTAAAGTTTGTTCTGAATACTGTTTTAAGTTGTCATGGTACAGTTCCATACATTACTATAATTTCCTTGGAGCTTTTTTCAGTTTATGATGGCAGATAATAACAGCATTGGTCAATGCAAAGGGAAATGGGCAACAAAAGAAACAGTCAGGATCTGATGTTCAGCATACACCGAGGAGGAGAAATATTATCTGCAATGTCCAGGTGGAAATGAGTATACGTAGATGTAGCCATAGCCACAGTTCTTTCTTCCCCACAGGTATGTTCATACGTTACTACAAAATTTTCTCATGGATCAAATCCTTGAATGTTTTGACTCATCCAGACTTTTTTTCTATTTATTTTTTTTTTTTACACACCCTGAAGATCTCTTTGAGAACATAGAAAGATTTCAATTGTAAAAGTATCAAAAGGGAAACATTGTTGGCTCGTGTTTGTAACTTGAGAACTAGATTAATCCTGTGACTTTATTTTCACTATGCACTTTTTTGGGGTTTGTTTTGTTCTGTTTTGGTTTTTTTTTCTTTTTATATTTCTCTTTGTGAGATCAAGTTGTGGCAAACTAGAAACCCTCACTATTCCAAAGTCCTGCAGGTTGCAAAATCTGAAACTAGTCCATGACTAGCAGGCTAAGAAAGTTGTATCATACTTTTAATTTCGCACAAATACACAGTAATGACAGGGGTTTTCTACTAGTCCAGTCAAATACAATTAATGTGTTGTGTAATAATTAAATTATGTCTGTCTGAAACCTCTTTTGTCTTCTTCTAATTTTTACATTCTGTTGTGTACATATTTGGTCATAGGGAAGAACTTTCCTTCTCAGCAGAGAAACATACTTAAAAACAAACAAACGAACAAAAACAAACAAACAAACAAAAACCAACACCACAATCCAGAAAGAAAAAACAGTCATTGAGGAACTATTTTAAGAAGGAGCATGAAAGTGTGTGAAAAAAAATCTCAGATAATTTACTGTGACATGTTTACATTTTTTCCTGATGAAGGGAATAACATAAGCAAATGCTTTATTTATCATTGCTCCACATTTCTATTGCAACTTTTAATTTCTATGAACAGAAGATGATTCTTCTGCTTTTTGTTCATTTTATAAAATCATAGTCTTTTGCTTATTTAAAAAGACTATACAAGATACTGACTAGTAAAACGAAACTATCTAATTCTACAATTTATTATAGTTCCCAAAGACATACCAAAAAAAGACTTGGACGTGAAAACAGGAATAGTAAAAATCTTAATTGAGAAGGTCTTACCAATGCAAGAACAAACCAAAATTTTTACACACAGAAGAGGGCCTGAGATACGTTATCAGCAAAAGAAAGCTGTAAGTAGTAAACTAAGAGGAATTCATCTAGAGACTGATTACAAGAAAAAAAAAAAGCTAGTTTTAGTTCATAGAATCATGGAATGGTACATATTTGAAGAGACCTTAAAGCTCATCTAGTTCCAACCCTCCTGCCATGAGCTCCTACTAGTTGTGCGGAGCTTGAAGTATAGAAGGTCTGAGGAGTTATCTGAATGTGTAGTGGTGAAATAGTATGCCTTATAAGTATTTGATGAAATCAGTAGAGACA